TTCTAAAATTGGATTTTGAACTCTTAGTTACCAAATTAACTTTAAAATAAAATTAAATTTAGAGAAAATATATCTTTAACGAGTATGACTTTTAATTGTGAGTCAAAAAGTAATTTGTTAAAAAAAATTCGAATTAGAATTCCTAAAAATTTTTTATTTTCATCAGTATGGTTAAAATCTTAAATCCTAATTGGAAAGGAGAATTTAGACTACTTTGTTTAGAAAAGTAATCATTGGGGATTGTCTTGAATATAGGTCTAAGAAAAACAGAAACTATTGGAATCAATAAAAAATAGATTATAGAAAGAATCAATAAAGAATTAATAAGGTAACCATAAAAAATTATTTTTTAATTTAGTTTGAATAAAACTCAAAGAGTGAAAAATCGTTTTGATATATAGATAATAAATCAATAACTCGCAGAAGTAGAGACATACTTTTATCAAGGCTTTCTTAGCCACTCTTCACATAAATATACAATTCCTCTTTTAATTTATAACTAATTACCTATTGGACATTTAAGAAATATCAAACTTTTTATTTCAAAGTACATGATTTTAATTCTACACTATTTCAAAGATTTTTTCTAAAACTATTCATTTACTTAGATAAATTTTCAAAAAATTAGGTTGCTAATAAGCTATGATCAGCCTTACATTTGCACAAAATTATAAATTCCATAATAAATTAATATGTGTAACAATTTTTTTTTAGAAAATATGGACAATTCTTTTTCTTGACTTTTTTAAATAACTATTAATAAAGATAAACTTTTCTATAAAAAAACCATTTTTATTTTCACGACTATTCCATTAACATTTTGATTCAAATATCGATTAAGAAATTATTAATTATAAGATTTTATCAAATAAATAGGATCATAAATTATTTAATCAGATGATTTATAGAACTATTTACAATCTACAAAAAATTAATAAAGACTTGAAACTAGTAAATTTTTAAGTTTATTGAGAAATAGCAACTTATATTTAAAAATAGCAATTGTCCGATTTAAAGAAAAAAATATTTTATCAGTTTCATTTAGATATTCACCACCTATATCAATCAAATTTGCTTGTTAAATTAATAGATTTCATGAGTATAATAATCACAAGTGAAAAAAAGGTTAAGCTAGAATACTTAGAAATAAATAATTGATGAAAATTTAGGAGAAAAATTTTTTTTTTTCCATATAATAGAAAGAAGAATTTATTAGATAAAGCTAAATTGTGAAAAATATCAAGAAAATACTGAAATAAATGCACTCATTAAGCTCATAATGCTTTATATAATAATCAATTGTACTTATACTATCATTCTATTTAATTTTCCAAAATATTACTACCTTTAGATTTCAATAATGGTCGTAAATCTATGCTATAATAATTGAAAAATTCTCCCTAACCAACAAGAGCCCCTTATGCTTATAGTAGAAGAGATTGGGATATCAGTAAAATAGTAATATTATTAGTTACTAAATAATACTAAAAAATACTTGAAAGAAGATTATTAGACTAACTTGGTGTTTGTAATTATGATAAAATATTGATATAACTGTTTTCGAAAGGTTGAAGTGGTGTTTCGTTTTGTTAAACATCCCATAAACGTATAGAATTATCTCCACTACCAGATGCTAATGTAGTACCATCAGGAGAAAAGCATACTGATTAGACAGAATAGATATGACCCTGTAATATCGCTTTTTATTACCCTGACTTAAAATCCCATAAACGGATAGAATTATCTCCACTACCGGATGCTAATGTTGAGCCATCAGGAGAGAAGCAAATTGAAAGGACCCATTTTTCATGACCATCTAATTTGGCCATTGATTCTCCTGTGTTAATATCCCATAAGCGGATAGATTTATCTCCGCTACAAGATGCTAATGTAGTACCATCAGGAGAAAAGCATACCTATAAGACAGAATGTCTATGACCATTCAATTTGAATTTTTAATATCCTGTGTTTAGATCCCATATAATAATAGAGAAGTCATCACTAGCCGAGGCTAATATATTTCCATCAGGAGAGAAGCTTACTGATCGAACAAAATTATAATGACCATCTAACTTGGCTTTTTATTATCCTGTCTTAATGTCCCATAATCGGATAGACAAATCTTAACTCCCAGATGCTAAAGTAGTACCATCTGGAGAGAAACAAACTGATTATACACAGTCACTATGACCATCAAATTAAGTCTTTTATAATCCTGTCTAAACATCCCATAAACGGATAGACTTATCTGCACTACTAGATGCTAATGTAGTACCACCAGGAGAATAGCAAACTGATTATACATAGCCACTATGACCAACCAATTATGCTTTTTATAATCCTGTCTAAACATCCCATAAACGGATAGTCATATCTGCACTACCAGATGCTAATGTGTTACCATCAGGAGAGAAACATACTGATCTGATCCAATTATCATGTCCTTATAAGTTGGCTTTCTATTATCCTATCTAAACATCCCATAAAGTAATAGAATTATCTGCACTACTAGATGCTAAAGTAGAACCATCAGGAGAGAAACAAACTGACCAGACAAAGTCACAAAAAAAATCAAATTTGGCTTTTTATTATCCCGTCTTAACATCCCATAAACGTACAGACTTATCCCAACTACCAGATGCTATTATTGCACCATCAGGAGAAAAGCAAACTGATTAGATTGTATATTAATGACCATCTAATTTGGCTTTTATTTATCCTGTCTTTACATCCCATAAACGAATAGATTTATCGTAGCCGTCAGATGCTAATATAGTACCATCAGGAGAGAAACATACTGAATTAACTTAATAACTATCGTCATCTAACTTGGCTTTTTACTATCCCGTCTTTACATCCCAAAAACGGATAATATCATCACTGCTGCCAGAGGCTAATATAGAACCATCAGGAGAGAAGCATAGTGATTCGACCAAATAACAATGACTATCTAATTTGGCCTTTTATTATCCTGTTATAACATCCCAGAAACGGATTGACCTATCGGCACTACTAGAGGCTAATGTTTTACCATCAGGAGAGAAACATATTGAACTTACAATTTCAGTATGTCCTTAAAATAAAAATTTTTTTTTTCTTGTTTTAATATCCCATAAATATATAGACATTTCATCACTACAGGATGCTAATGTATTACCATCAGAAGAGAAGCATATTGATTTGACATAACCACTATGACCGTAAAATTAGACTTTTTATTATCCCTTCTTAACATCCCATAAACGGATAGATTTATCACTGCTGCCAGAGGCTAGTGTAGATCCATCAGGGGAGAAGCATACTGAATTGACTTTACTAGTATGACCTTTCAATTTATTTAATTCATGTATCCTTATGTTATTCCATTTACAATTTAATAATATAGCCCCATTTAAATTAATGCCACTTATATCTACATTTTAAAGCTAGGAACCGCTTAAATTGCACCTAACTAAATTCGCTCCCACCAAAGTAGTATTTTTGATATTTATATTTTCAAAATTTTTGTTTCTAATGTCCACTTTCATCTAAACTATTAAATTTAATGAATTTGAGCCACATTATATCAAGGTGACATCTATGGATGTGAGGAGAATTAGAAATTACAAAAATTCTATGATCTATTTTTCATCCTTTATTTTTTAAATGAGATCTTGTATAGATTCTTTAGTTCTTTCACTGGAATAGTCTATCTTATTGAAATCATGATCCTTCATTATTTTTAAGACATCAATTATTTTTTTAATGTTATTTCTAACCACATACAACTTCTATTCCTAATCAACTTTTTCTAAATTTTCTCCTTGTTAGATGTATTATTCTAGATGCTTTAAATTTAAATTATCTGAAAGATATCCTATACAATCTTAAATATTCTCCTTTTTAAAAATTTCAATAATTATTCTGAATATTCTTTCATCCACTCCTTTAACTTTAGCAAAAATTTCATATAGATCCTCTTATTATTCATTATTGCTCTTCATTTTCTTAAATAATTATTGAATTTATATGACTTTACTCTAAGCTATATACTAAAATCAAAATGTATCTTATTTTTTTAATTGGGAAACCCAGGCATTGTTTAGGTATAGTTTGATAGTAATTGAGGCCAAATGGGCTATCGAATAGCAAATTAAATATTTGCATTACAAGATTCTAAAAGAATATAGAATAACATTTTTTACTAATATAAGTTATGCTATTGATATTCATAAATCTCTTTATTCCTATATTAAGCCTAAATAAGGTTAGTTTTAGTTAAATATTAAGAGAAGGGAATAGGTCTGAGCACAATCTTGATCACTCCTTTATTTTTGTAAAAATTATATAATAGATGTAAAGTTATAACCAAAATTGCAATTTTTTTAATATTGATCTAGAAAGTTTCCAAAAGCACTTCATTGTTGTAATTGATTAACTCTGTTAGCGTGAGGTTTTATGCAAAATTAAGAATTTGCAACTTATTGTAGTACTAGATATGTGCTTACTTGATATATTATTTTAATAGGAGTATTATAACTAATAAATATAAGTATTTTGATCTTTTTTTTAATCTCTATAAAATTTTAGGTTGCGCATATTGTCTATGAGCGAATTAGTAATAATCTTTTGATTTAACTTTTTGTATTAGATGTATCTTATGGTCATTTAGTGGCTTTGAAATTTATAAATGCAACAAAATGTTCATAATGTCTAAGTGGCTATTAATTACTAAACAAACTATTTGTGAGAAATTATATCTTGATATATGTAAATGGATCCCAATAAAACTATCTTGCTAGTGCTACATATTAATGCTCTAATACTCAAAACTTACAATTTGTTCAAAAATAAAAGCATCATGCCTTTTTTCTTTACTAAGAGTCTTCTTAAGCAATAAATTTGAAAATGGCATTTTTACTTATGAAGAATTGAAATCATACTCATAACCCACCAGTTTGGTTAAGATGTGAAGTTCCAAATGATAAATAAGATAAATCAGCTTAATACCTAAATTCCTGATGGATACTTCTCGGTCTGTCAATAAAACATCAAATAAAATTCGTACTCCTGCAAGTATTGTAGTGATTCCTTCATCAACTTGCTCGACACTTACAGCAACATCAGCTGACACAAATAATATTTGTGCTATATGTATACCTAATTTCAATATTTAAATTGAAGGAATATCCTTATCTTGTTCTGCTAAATAGGGAGCTAAAATACAATTCATTGATTAATGAAATAAATAGTAGGAACATCTAATATTACTTATGATTTTTGTACTCATAAGTTTTTTCTGTAAGCTAACAATTTCAGCAATATGTTCCACTATTTGAGTTAGTGGTGGGTTTCTCGAAAGTTAATCTAGCTTCAACTGCACAAAATATGATTTTGTGAGAATAAGACTGGGGGATTCTTCGAATACATTTAGTTTATCTGGTCTCAAAAATTTACTGTTTTAATAATAATAATATATTGATTAAATCTTTACTATCTTTTAGAAAGCACTTCTTTCATGGATATTTTGCACTTACTATTATTGGTGTGCTACATTTAATGATACCTGGACATTAATTTTGAACTTGCATTGATGGATATTCCTTCTAGGATGGTAGTTGTATTTCTCTTAATAAAAATAATTGGGCCATAAAACTTAATTCTATTGCAAAATGTATTTAAACTTACAGATAATATAAGGATAAAGTTTAATTTAGAATAAAAAGTACTAATTACCTTTGAGGTAATTCGAAATTTTTTCTCATTCAGNAACTCTGTTAGCGTGAGGTTTTATGCAAAATTAAGAATTTGCAACTTATTGTAGTACTAGATATGTGCTTACTTGATATATTATTTTAATAGGAGTATTATAACTAATAAATATAAGTATTTTGATCTTTTTTTTAATCTCTATAAAATTTTAGGTTGCGCATATTGTCTATGAGCGAATTAGTAATAATCTTTTGATTTAACTTTTTGTATTAGATGTATCTTATGGTCATTTAGTGGCTTTGAAATTTATAAATGCAACAAAATGTTCATAATGTCTAAGTGGCTATTAATTACTAAACAAACTATTTGTGAGAAATTATATCTTGATATATGTAAATGGATCCCAATAAAACTATCTTGCTAGTGCTACATATTAATGCTCTAATACTCAAAACTTACAATTTGTTCAAAAATAAAAGCATCATGCCTTTTTTCTTTACTAAGAGTCTTCTTAAGCAATAAATTTGAAAATGGCATTTTTACTTATGAAGAATTGAAATCATACTCATAACCCACCAGTTTGGTTAAGATGTGAAGTTCCAAATGATAAATAAGATAAATCAGCTTAATACCTAAATTCCTGATGGATACTTCTCGGTCTGTCAATAAAACATCAAATAAAATTCGTACTCCTGCAAGTATTGTAGTGATTCCTTCATCAACTTGCTCGACACTTACAGCAACATCAGCTGACACAAATAATATTTGTGCTATATGTATACCTAATTTCAATATTTAAATTGAAGGAATATCCTTATCTTGTTCTGCTAAATAGGGAGCTAAAATACAATTCATTGATTAATGAAATAAATAGTAGGAACATCTAATATTACTTATGATTTTTGTACTCATAAGTTTTTTCTGTAAGCTAACAATTTCAGCAATATGTTCCACTATTTGAGTTAGTGGTGGGTTTCTCGAAAGTTAATCTAGCTTCAACTGCACAAAATATGATTTTGTGAGAATAAGACTGGGGGATTCTTCGAATACATTTAGTTTATCTGGTCTCAAAAATTTACTGTTTTAATAATAATAATATATTGATTAAATCTTTACTATCTTTTAGAAAGCACTTCTTTCATGGATATTTTGCACTTACTATTATTGGTGTGCTACATTTAATGATACCTGGACATTAATTTTGAACTTGCATTGATGGATATTCCTTCTAGGATGGTAGTTGTATTTCTCTTAATAAAAATAATTGGGCCATAAAACTTAATTCTATTGCAAAATGTATTTAAACTTACAGATAATATAAGGATAAAGTTTAATTTAGAATAAAAAGTACTAATTACCTTTGAGGTAATTCGAAATTTTTTCTCATTCAGTATGAATAAAGTGAGTTATCAAGTTATGTTAAGTTTTTAAATATTTTTTGATTCATTATATAAATAAGAATTTAGTTTAATTCTATTTACTTGATTAACTTAAAGCATATAACTAAATATACTTTCATAAATATAACTCAAAAAAAATTTATGTATAAAACAAATAAATACATATTTATGTATTTTTCGTAAGATTTATGGAAAAAAAAGTACTTATAGAAGTAATTAAAGTTCTTAATTATAGAATATAAGTTTTCATATTTCAGCAACAGGATTCAACCTTTGTATTTGGGCCAAGAAATCAATTATTTTGTCTATTTCTACTTTAAAATAAATCCTTTTGTACATCAAATAGATGAAAATAATAATATCTTTAAAATTCTTTCCTAAAGCACATCTTATACAAATTAAATCTAAAATTTATTATTTCATTTCATGTTGAAAATTGTTTAAAGTTTATGAAATCTTATTAATTTCTAGAACAATTTTGATTATTTTTCAAAAACCAATTAGATGTATATAAACCCATTGTTTTTTTTCAATTTATCTCAACTATCCAATTAATTAACCATGCGTTTCTAATTGAAAGTGCTGCAGGAATTATTGGCTCTTCTAGAGTAGGAAACATATAACTTTATGTGTGTGAATTAATTAAACCCCAAAAAAAAGAAATATATTACATGGGAAAATCATCATTATAACTTGTCTACGACGTTTATATGCTAAATTCTCTAAAGGGGACAATTTATCAGTCATTTGTAAAACATATATTATAATTTGATGATTAATTATTGAATACTTGAGGTTTAGGTAAGCCTCTATGTTTAATATTACCTAAATTTAAGTATACTGGTGTTTTACAATTAACTTACTTATAGATACCAGTAAATATTATTAATACCCTTTATTTAGTACGATATTCATCTAACCTAAGAATAAACAGAGTCAATAACATATTATTCTTATATATTATTTACAATATTGGAAATATATCGGCAATATTTTTTAGATAAGATATTCTGAATAATTCTAACATATATTATCCAACCATATCAATACTATAGCATCATTATAGATTGAAAATTATAAAATGTTAGTTTAAGAAAATATGTCATCCCGTTTCTGGTGTTTGTTGCAACTGCTTTGGTCTAATCAAATTTCAACCTGCAAAGATATAATTATCCTATATGAATTCATTCCAATTCTTATTCTCAAAAATAATTTGATTATCAAATTATTTGATTGTTTATAACAAAAATTCAAAAATTATGTAAAATTAATCTAGTAAGTTCCAATTGCTTACAATGAACTATTAAATATATTGCTAATTAATTGAAAATATATATTTCTCCAATTAACAAAAATACAAATATTAGGTAAATGCTACTCTTGGACAATATTGTATATAATTATCAGTATAATATAAAAGCTTTCATTATATATTTGAATTTTTTAAGTAAGGTTAAATTTTTATTTTTGGATATAAAAATCACTATTGCCTCCAGAATTCATACTCTTCAATTTAAAAAATACAGAATATATATTAAGATCCCATTCACACTAAGACAACTCACCAATTACTATGATGCACAATTTAGGCTCAGTTCATTAAGCATGTTTAATCTCTTTCCTTTAATAAGCTTCATCTCTTAATTTTTAAGTATAAAATTTAAGTTGACATCTCAGATTCATGAAATCAAAAAGATAAAGAGGTTTACAATTAAATTCAGTTAAGCTGTCGTTCCCATTAACTATTCAGTGTTTAATCCTCATATTCGTCATATATTCACTGTTAGTTGATCCTATAGCTATTTAATTCCCTTCTATAATCTGTTTTATTTGCTTTTCATTATTATTAGTCAGAATGTTAAATTTTAAATTGGAATTATTATTGGTATTTAAGCCATTTAATGCACTAAAAAATTTAATTGCCTTGATCAATATAATACTTTATTTGGATAATATTTTCCTTTTTCCCCATTTTATTTGGTAAGTGTTAAAAGATCGAATTGATTAATTACAGAAAACTAAAGTAAAAATTGTATTCAATAATGTATAAGTAGGCTTCGTTTGCTTATATTCCTATATTTGCCTTGTTATGTGCACTATTGTTGGATATGTTAGAATAAAATAAAAGAATATAAGAACTTAATTTTGGATTTAACCCTCTAACCTTAAAAACAGAATTAATGCTGTAATGATTATTGTATTAGTTCAAATATTCTGGTTATTATACTTGCAGATTCATTTGGTTTAGTGCTCTCTGGATTAAATCACCAATGATACATGGAATTTCAACAATTATTCTTTTAAACTAAAGTTCAATTCCATCAAATTTTTCTGTGAATTATTACTCTAAACATATCCATTAAGTATCTAGATTTACCTTTCTCTTTTCCCTAAATTTTCTGCATTTTCCTTTGATTCCACAACTTAGCTTAAAAGGAGTAGAGTACTAATAATCATAGATTAGGTTGATTCCACCTAAATTATACATTTAGAAAACATAGTGTGAAGTTCATTTGTAAAGGTGAAGGAGTGAAAGGTTTGTGCAACAATTTTGTAGCTAGAATTCTAAACATTACCCCAAAGTAGATAGATTTGTTCGTCTGACTATATCCTTTAGACTACTCATCCCCAGCTTTTTATACCTAATAGAGTATTTGCCATAATAAATCTTGAGCTGTGAAATATAATTTGTTTTTCAACTTTTTTATAAAGCAATTTGGCAATGTGATTAGTCGAAATCTTAAGGTAATTTAATCAGAGCAATCAATTAGAAGAGGTTTTGTAATTTATTTTTCATCATTATTTTATTATATTAAGAATTCATCATTTAACTAGGAGAGGTTCTAATGAAAAAATATATAGCTTAAAGAACAGAATGATTATTAATAGTAGTTGAACAATAGTTATAATATTGCAAAAATTAAATTTTGAATGATTAACATTGTTTATAGATTTAATTTATTTAGAAATTTTCCCATTTAAATATAAAAATTACATATTAGCTTTGATCTCATTCGATTAAGTTTAATCATCTCATGATATTAAAATATAACCATGAAAGCGCTTATTAATTTCTTTAATCAAGTAAATTAGATGGTGCCTATTAATGATTTAATAGGCAATTTTTATCT